TCAGCCTCTTATGAAGAAAAAAAATTGTCCCTTTAAGGGTAATCCAGATCCTGCTATATCCCTCAGTTCAAGTTTGTGAGTTTATACCGTCATCCCGCATGCGTAAATGTCAATCTGTCAGTCACAATATAGTCCCAGGTCCGTTATAACAGTCAAACCAGTCAATTCTCCCCTCCTTATCAAGTTATGAAATTAAGTGGGCCCACCGCACAGGTGCACCCTCTCCAGAAGGTTGAAGGAAACATGGGCCCCTTCTTGGTTCATATCTTGGTCCCACGACGGCTCGCCATCTCCTTCGTCAAGGAGAAAGAAGTTCCAAATCGAAGATCCAAATCCAGAGAGTTCAGGTGGTTCTGAAAACCCAACCAAGACAATCCAAAACGACTTATCTCCTCAATAAAACAAGGGTCCGCAAACTGAAATCTCCCCCGAAGCTTCACTTCAACTCTCCGATCAACCGGGTCTACTTCACACATTGGTAGCAACTACTCGAGTGTCATGTTTTTCTCACTTTCTGCAGCACTGTCTTTTTCTCTTTTTTTTTCCGGAACTAAGACACTCCTCAACAGGAACCACTTCAAAGTTATACAAAATAAAATATGCTGCCAAAATAAGAGTTTGCTGGCAATAGTATAATGTGAACAATTTACTTCCACTTACTGGGCTACATGTATTACATCTGGACTTCTTTTGTATGATGAACTATTGTTAACCATTTACGTTTCTTCAGTTCATTTCTCATGCAATAATTTTGTACAAAGCCAGAAAATGCCATATTTGACCAAATAATACTGTTTATAAGAAGTGTTGGTTATTTTATATATGGACACCATGAGTAAAGAATGGTAGAGACATATTTAACAACATTAAAATTTACTATCAGATTAAATACATACACATTTTACTTCAGTTATTTTAATCTAAATATGAATTGGAGTCACTGGTCTATGACCAAAAAAAGATTAGATTCTTTACTATCACTGTACAAAACAACAAAATTCAGGTGCATTCAAGAACCAGACTCAAATATAAATAGATAAGAAATAGATAAACATGCTCATACTCACACCACACTCTACACACCAAAATATTCTAGCATTTTTACCATACAGTCATTCCCAATGTATACAGTAAAAAAAAAAAAAAAAAGATAAAGGTCCATTTCACATAATGACAAAGTGCACATATATTATTACACATAAATAAATTACTGCACATTAATATTGTATTGTATTTGGAGGGTGTCCTTTCAGTTCAGAGTTCAGTATGGTAATGGCTTTGGGATAGAAAGTGTTCATGAGCCTACTCGTACATGAATTAACTCATAAATGGTCAATCCCCCACAGCATTAGCTTCACAAAACGATTAGTAAATAAAATCAGTTAGTGAAGCAATAAAGATTTTAAAAACATAAATGTGCACATAAAGCAGAAAAAATTTAAATGTTCCATGGTTAAAGCAGTGACAAAGTTACAGGCAATCAGATAAAACAGGTTTTTCTGTTTATTTGCAGGTATTTTGATTTCAAGTTGCTGCTCTGTGCAGCCACAAGAGGTCTCAACATCACAGCTTTTTACATGGAGCCTCCAGTAACACCATAATGTAAACACGGAGTATGGCTACACACAGAGAACTGGGATAAATTAGAGCTGGAGAGATTAAACAGGGAGCAGAGCAGAGTGTTAAGAGCAGTACAATTGTTTAGATTAACTTGTGTTTTTTTAAGTCATGTCTAAGAGATCTGTGTACGGCGCGAATCATATGAGCAGTAGGATCCAGTCAGACCTCCTCCCAGTTATTACTCAACAGATTAGGACAGCCAGCTTTCAAAAGAAAAGAAGGAAATTGCAACATGTGCCGAAGTCTCCACAGAAGAGGAAGTCAGATCAGGGGAGGACAAATCTGAGCTTA